ATTTTTTTTCTTTTGAATCTACACTAATTCAAGAATGTCCCTACAAAATTTCAAGTGAAAATCTCAAGAACTCTTGAAAATATAGCCGATTTATTGTGTCAGCATCAAGTGACGGCTAAAGGGCTTCTCAAACTTTAAACGCGTTTTTCTCAATCCCAATCGATTCCAAATTTTTACACGTTTCTCTGTGAGTGTATAGCTATCGTATGAATTGGATAAAGCCAATCGGTGAAGATCTTCCTTATTTTTTAACTTGGGTTTTGGACAAAAATCGGCGATTTTCCCAAAATATTTTTTGAAAGGTCCTCCATTTTTTTAATTTTAGAGCGAAGTCAATTATCCTAGTTCATACGAGAGCCAGACATGTACTCTTTCTAACACCGTTGGAATTTTCGGATTCCGATGTTCGACTGAGGGGTTATCATGCCCGCCATCAAAAATAAGGACTTCTCTTTACAAAATTAAAATCGAGAATGGGTGGGGTCCCCTTAAGTGTCTTATATCGTTAGAATATAAACTAGAGGAATTCAGGAGATTATAATAGGTCTAGAGGTTTTCTACGATTAGAAGGCCTTCTGAAGTTCCTTTGTAGTAAGAATATGCTTAATTTTAGTTTGAGGTCGTCGAAATTTTCGATAAAATCGGATTCAAAAATTTCCAATTTCCATCTGCGAAGACTTGGCCAAACGGAATGAGATAGACCCATTTCTTAAACGGATGGCGACTGGAGATGATAAATGCGGTGAAGCACCTCAAACAGTGGCCAAACCAAGACTAACGACCAAGAAGCTTCTGCTATGCATTTGGTGGGACTAGAAGGGGTTATTTCTTATGAGTTGTCTTCATATGGCCACCACCAGGACAAGGCTAGGCCAGACACATCTATAGTGACCCGCTAGAAATTCCGGGGCTTAGTTGGGAAGTTTTATTGCCTCCGCCATACAGTCCGGACTTTGCTCTAAGCGATTATCATATTATTCTTACATTGTAAAATTCCTTTAACGATAAAAAATTGGTATCTAGGGAGTATTGTGAAAATCGACTACTACAGTTTTTTTTTTTTTTTTTTTTTTTTTGAAAATTGAGAGTAGGTCTTCTATGAGAGGCATTACAATACCATAATCAGGAAGAACTTCCAGAGGTCTTCTGGCGATAGTCTATCAAAAAGTCATTTATAATAAGAAGTATTTATAAATCTATGAGAATTTTAAGACATTCTGGAACAATCCTTTAATAAAAAAATTAAAATTAACTTATAATTTAAAATATCTCCTAAAACAGCGTCAGGCAGGGAGTAAACCATTTGTATTCTCACAGAGAGTGAGGAGGATTTACAATCCCGCAGAGCACGATTACGTCAATGGTCAAAAAGGTATTCTGGTGACATTCTGAAGATGAACTACCTCGTGTTTTCGTGAGGTTCCTTTATGACACGAAAATGTTTTATATTAATAGAGCTTTTTAAGGTATAAGAGCTTCCAGAGGCCTTCTGCTGATAGTTCTCCAAAAAGACCCCTATAGACGGAAAAAATTAGAGGTCTTGGATAATAAGAAGACATATTCTATAATTATAAATCCTTGAAGAAAAATTCGGTTAGACATTCCGGAACTATCCTTTAATAAAAAAAAAATTGAAGAGCCCATATGAAGATCATTAGAAGTTAAAATATCTCCTAAAACAGCGTCAGGCAGGGAGTAAACCATTTGTATTCTCACAGAGAGTGAGGACGATTTACAAACCCGCAGAGCACGATAACGTCAATGGTCAAAAATATATTGTGGTGACATTCTGAAAATGGACGACCTAGTGTTTTCATGTGGTTAGAAGACCCTCTGGAGTTCCTTTATGACAATAAAATGTGTTATATTTTGTAGAGCTTTTTAAGGTATAAAAGCTACCAGAGGTCGTCTGGTGATAGTTCTCCAAAAAGTTCTCTATACGCGGAAATATAATATGTAGAGGTATTGGATAATAAGAAGACGTATTCTAGAATTATAAATCTTTGAAGAGAGATTAGGTTAGAAGGTGGAAGACCTCCTAGAACCGCGTCAGGTTAATAGTAGGTAAGATTTGCGCCGTAGTTACAATACCGATATTCTATGTCTAGAAGAGCTTCAAGAGGTCCTTGGGTGTTAGTTCTCCAAAAAGTCGTTTATAGTCAGAAATATTTAGAGGTCTTAGACAATTAAAAGACATTCCGGACATATTCCATAACTAGAAACCTTTGAAGAGAACATAAGACCTTGATAAGGTCACTTAGATGTTAGAAGAACCCATAGAAAAGCGTCAGACGAAGATTAGGACATTTTAAGTCTTATTTGAGCTTGTGGAGAATACGCGTACAGGCCTGATCTTGCCTACAGGACCGGGTACTTCAGGTCAATTATTCCAGCGCATGATGTAGGGTACTATTAGGCAGACAATTTATAAATGGTAGTATTATTTCATTGCCTTTATGTAAAGTTAAAAAAAAAATAGAAAAAAATAATAATAAGGACGAAAAAGAGGCACGAGTACTGGATATAGAAGAAGAATTTGTATAAAAAAAATATTTCCCATTTTATTCGAAAAATAAACTGCAAAAAAGATATAAAAGTTTATCTCTGGCCTATGTCGAATATGTAGTTCTGGGTTTTTAATATACTCGCCAATGACTTTCATCTACATAAGGAATTTTTCACACCCATACCATGAACTCGATTTTGTGGCACAATGTAATTAGAAATTCATCTGGAGTCTTAATATCTCACAATAGGACGTATTATTTGAAGTAAGGAATAACATGCCACAATGTCGGGAATGAGGCAAGTCGAAAATTACGACTATCTCTATATATGTTTAATTCAGTTTGAAATTGGGGTTAAGGCCTTTAAGCTAACTAACTTGAGTCTGAACCGGGAGCACTATCATATTTCTACGCTGAACAATTATATCATTATTATGAAAAAAATGCGCAATGATGTTTTCCTCTCGAAGACCTCGCATTTGCCACATTGCAGCCACTTCGGTTTAAAAAGGGGGGCTAAAAACTTCAAAATATAACCACATCGTTTTATGAAGGTTCTATCGTTTATTCAAAAGCTATCAGAGAGCTTTTTTGGGACTTTAACAGATATGGTATCTTCCGCTGTAGCTTTTGTATGTATCAAATAAGTAAAAAATTGGCAGTCGCTGTTCCCGACAGATATATACCTTCAGCCTATGGTTTACGGAGGTCTTCAGAGTTACACACATGTTTTATTTATTATTTTTCATCTTCGGACTTGATCTAGGCTTGGTAAAGATTGTACCAAGTTTAGTTAGTGGACCAATGGCTGCCATCTTCGGACTTGATCTAGGCTTGTTAAAAATAATAGGTTTTGCATAGTTTGGTTCAAATCGGATAGTCTCGTATTATAAAATTAATTTTTAGCTAAATTTTGACCAATTTGTGGGTCCCCATCTTCGAACTAAGTTTGCTAGAAATATTACGATGTGCAAAGTTTGTCTGTCCATTTGTAAATCAACTCCAAATTGTCGGAAACGGATTTGGTTCAAAGAAACATGGGGTATTAAGCCAATATTTTGATGATGCAGATCAAAGTGCCCTCATTAGCCATAAGGCTGAGGATATAAACAGGTGTCAAAAAATAAATATCGAGTTAAAAAGAACCGGTTTTCTAAATTTTTGAACCGGTTATTCAGATAATAAAACCGGTTTCAATACATCGTATGTATATTATTAGAAAGCTAATAAACACAAACGTTGTAAATTTATTGAACCGGACTATTCCCGGTTTTATTATCTGAATATCCGATTCAAAGATTTACAAACCCGTTTTTTTAGTAGAATATTGCGAGGATGAAAAATTGCATCTTGTGATATTTGGAAACCGGTTCAATAAAGTAAACTTTCTGAAACTTTCTCTTCAAGTATAATAGGGGTCACCAGCAAAAAAATAAAATATCCCACCATATCTCCGAACTTTGACCTATGACGAATTTTTCATTCTGGGGTTTTCATATACTAACCAAGGTCCCAATAAGAATTTCCCACCCACAGACCATGACCTTGATTTTGTCGCAAAGTGTAATAGTTGACTAATTATATTTTATACCAAGGTTTGAGATATACTCTCCAACAATTTGTGATCCCATAATTAAAAATAATCTATTGCTGATAAAAAAGTATTCCGTATGCATTTTCTAACCAATTTTCCCATACTAACACTCTTGTTAATATTGCTAATGGTTCTTTACGTTCTCCGTTCGGTTTGCGGTCTTTAACCCTTTACCGCCCAAAAGTTTTGTTCTCATGCCTGCCAAATTCCTTCGATAGAAAATAACCTCTAACCTTATCAATAACTTTCCACCATTTAGGATAAATCTGCTGCTACCCAATCATCAAATAAAAATCAAAATAATTATGACGATTCAAGTGATTCGGATGTGTCGTCTTGTGAGTCACAAGGTTCAACACCAGATCTCAAGTCGCCCAAACGTTTAGATAAAAATAAACATTTGATAACTAAACTGCTGACCACCCTGGAGCAAAGATCCTCCAGCAACTCCAATGAAGAAGAGGAGGAGGAAGAAGATGACGATGAAGACGAAGATAGTGATAATGAACGTGATAATGATGAAGATGGTGGCGATAAATCTAACACCTGGGCCGATGAAAATCCTGTAACACAAGAAGAAATCGAAGATATATGGGCGGATAAATCACCAGAATATCGGGCAGCGACACCCACCTATATACGTAAACAATTTGGCAAGGATGTTATTGCGCAAAAATATGGCAAGGTTGGAAGTAAAAGTGGCAAATTGAAACGTCATACAACCCAACCCATAGCAATTGAGGAAGATTTAATGGCGGGGTTACAAGTAGATTTTAGTAGGACCACACTTGATGATGATGACGACGAGGAATCCGATAATCCCTCAAAATTCCCATCCTATGAATATGCCAAATTGAAAACAAATCCCATCTTTAATCCTGATATGTCCTTGAATTTAAATGAATTGGCAAGACAGGGAGAAAATCAAATCCGTCCCAACAAATCAGAAAACAGAAACGGGAAATCATCCAGTAATTGGCTTTCAAAATCGTCAAAACGTCAACAACAGCAGAGTGCAAAAATTGAAATTCCCAAAACCACAAATATCCAATACTCCTCTTCGAGTAGTTGTTCTCCTCAGAGTAGAGAAATTAGTGTTAGTCCCCAGATTTACGATAATGATTCACAACAACAAATCACCTGCTGTTCTGATGCACCCTGTAGTTGTAGTTATACCAATTTGAATTCACAATTAAATCAAAATCTAAATTTTAACAAACCTCAAGAAGAAGAAGAAGAAAATCCATTCAATACTGAGAAAATTTTCCATAATTCAAAATCATCTAAATCTCTTCATTCATATTTACCACAGTTTAGCCGTTCAGCAGTGGGTGGTTCCAAATTCCTAACGAACTGTCATCCCTATAATCCCGAGGAATATGATGGCCTGGAATTTGAATCCCGTTTCGAATCGGGTAATCTGGCCAAAGCTGTACAAATCACACCAGCCTATTATGAACTGTATTTGCGTCCGGATTTATATACCAGCCGTTCGAGGCAGTGGTTTTATTTTCGGGTGCGCAAGACTAAAAGGAATATGTTGTACAGGTGAGTGGACATTTTTAAGTATTCCGATACATATTTATATATTACAAATAATTCAGCTACTCCGAATTAAAAAACAAATATTTATATAAATCCATAAAATAAAAAGAAAAAAATATTTCAATTCCTAAACTTAGCCACGAATTGCAAAAGAAACCCCAGAATTCCCTTTTTTATAAATTCTGTATTTAATATTTCGAATTTTCTCTCTCCCTCCCCCTTCTTATTGCAGATTTTCCATTGTCAATTTAATTAAATCGGATAGTTTGTACAATGATGGCATGCGTCCGCTTATGTACTCCACCCATAATGCCAAAACACGGAACGAAGGTTGGGTGCGTTGCGGTGACAACATCTGTTACTATCGCAATGACGACGAGTAAGTTCGAAACCAAAAACAAAACAACAAAAAACTAAAACCAAATAATTAAACACAAAAATTGTATGCATATATGAGACATTCCATGTAAGGAAAACTAAGAAAACCATGCTGAGGAAAACAAAAATTAATCTGAAAGTATTTCGATATCAATATTTACCCGATTTATTAAAATTGGAAATGAAGAAAAACTGGAGAATATAAACACCTATGGGAGGCATCAACTTCAGCACCAACGTAGGTCAGGACCGCTATATGGCAATTTTCTTCGAAGATGTAGTTTAAAGTAAGTAGGTGCGAACATTTGGTCCTAGAAACCATAAAACGATGCCCGCTTTGCGAACATCGTTTTAAGGTTTACGCTTTGCGAACCCCTAGGAGATATGACACCCATTGACAAGTTTTGACAAATTTCTATGAGATGGACTGTTATCTTCTATAAATCGGGAGTTCAAAATTACAGCCACTTCGCTTGGAAAATGCGAAGACGTTCCCATTGTGTATCCAGGAAAACCCAGCTTAAAATATTCGAAGCCTGTACAAAACTTATTGTGCTTTATCTGCTATTCGAAAACAAATTGCTCAAGATCATATGCAGAATATTCCGATTCATCACCATCAACGAACCTAACGAACCAGGAACGCATACAAAAACAGATTAAACGTATGGAATGTAGGTGCAATGCCCATAGCATACCCAGGAATTGATATGTATATGTACATTCAGGAGTATTACTTATCATACCTTAAAAAATGATATAACTCGGCCATTGTGTGTTCCACGCTCTTATTACTAATTAACTTTTTTCGATCGAAAAGGTGCTTCATATTCTATACATTTTCTCAAAGAAGTGTTTGGCGGTTATTTGGGATACCATTTGTATTTTGTTTTTGCAAAATAGTCAGGCTTAGTCCCAGTTTGTTGTTTTCATAAAAAACAACTATTGTAGTTGTCTGTAAATGCCTTGTTAACCACGAAGTCAGCCACCAACGAAACGAACTTCTCATTGGGGTCGTATCGCTGGTAACGTAAGAACTTCGAATTGTCACAAGAGACATTTGGGTTTGAAAGGTTTTTTGTAAAGAAGCTATTAATAGCTTCTGGGGAGAATATCCCAACAAAAAACTAAGAGAACTGATGAGGATCAGTGGCGAGATCCGAAACTATAGTCTTCCCTGCCTTACCCCTCGGCGGACAATGTCATACATTCCCCACTAATAAATAGTTGTTTTTTATGAAAACAACAAACTGGGATTAAGCCTGACCATTTTGCAAAAACATTTTCTCAAAGTTTGATCAAGATCGAAGATGGAAGATATAAAAAAATAAATAAATAAAAATCGTATTTTTATGAATATTGTTCAGAAAGTGTTGCTAATGTCGCGATTTCTGCATTTTATGAATAAAATTCATAAAACTTTAAATAGTGGTTTCTTGTTAGAGGGCGTAAAAACCATCTTTGGAGTGTGTGCGCAAAACCCGCCACGACGTTTTTCAATGGTATCATATCATAATAATTTGGAAAATACATATGCGAATTTTATAACACCAATGCTGAGGTCTGTAAGATTGTCTGACATAAAGAGGCAATGGAATGCAAAACTAGTCACAATCGAGTGAGTGGAAAGTCAGCGGTTGATAGCAACAGAAACAGGGGTGAAATAATCCGTTTGCAGTAAGGAGAGAGGAGCAAAATGATAAAAAAAAAACACACACACACACGAGCATTGGGAGGAATCCATATACTTTTGTCAAAACACAGAGAAAGAAAGGAAACATGAGCGCAAATAGTGGTAAGGTAGAGCGAAGTAGGAAAATAGTTGTGATATTAGGTTGGGAGAAAAAAAATCCATTATTTTTATATGAAGTATAGGACTTTATTTAACATGCTTCTGAGTGTCCGATTAGCACCGTTTTGTTGTATGATTTGTTGCCATTTTAAAGGTAACTTCAAAATCCCTATCTCATAGAAGTCCTGCTCTCTATTTGCAAAACAACTATAGTAATGGATTTACACAATCCTCCCTAGATACCACACTGTGATACAGGGTATTATGTCTTTGTGCATATCTTTGTAACAAGCAAAAGGAAACGAAATAGAATACGCATAGAATCACTTTTAAGTTGATTTATGCATGTCCGTCCGTCTGTCTGCACACGTTAAATTGTAAACAAAGTGCAGGTCGCATTTTTGATTTGAATAGAATGAAATTTGGCACAACTCATTTATTTGGCCCAAGGACGAAGCCTATTGAAATTGGGAAAAATCGGTTCATATTTAGATATAGCTCCCATGTATATTTTCGTCCGATTTATATATCCTTCGATTTGCACGAAATTTGGCATAGCGTACTGAATTGAGTCAAAAAAGTGTGTCAAAATTCGTGAAAATCGGTTCAGATTTATATATAGCTCCCATATATATTTTCATCCGATTTTAGGTAAATAATGCATTAAAGTCCCTATATAACTTTCGATTTGCTTGAAATTTGCCATAGCGTACTGAATTGAGACTAGAATGATGTGTGTAAATTTACTTGAAAATCGGTTCAGATTTAGATATAGCTCCCATATATATTTTCGACCGATTAAAGGTAAATGGTGTACCAAAGTCCCTATATATCTTTCGATTTACACGAAATTTGATATAGCGTACTGATTTGAGTCTAGAAAGATGTGTGTAAAATATCTTGAAAATCGGTTCAGATTTAGATATAGCTTCCATATATATTTTCGTCCCATTTTATGTAAATGGTGCATCAAAGTCTATATATATCCTTAGATTTGCACGAAATTCGGCATAGCTTACTGAATTGAGTCAACAAAGACGTACGTTAAATTTCGTGAAGATCGGTTCAGATTTAGATATATCTCCCATTTATATTTTCGTCCGATTTTAGGAAAAT